GCAAGATTGTAATAATTATTCATTTTGCAGTCTAGGCCCTTCATTTGATGGTCAAAAGTTAATCACCATTTCCACACCTTCCTCGAGGCTTTTTCCTTATGCTCAAACCCGCTTAGGCTCCATCTTTTCTCATGTTTTAGAAGATTGTGATTTTTATTTTTTATTTTTTACTTCTTTTCTTTGTTTGTTTGTTTTCCCTTTCCTCTTAGAATGCATGCACGTGCATTTCACGTGACAATTTAATGTCCAATTTAACAAAAAAAATATTAAAAACGACTACCTACTTTAATAGCGTAACGTCGAGGATGCAAAGGTTCAATTTTAAAGATTGGCAGTTGACTAGAGGTGTCAAGAGAAGGGCAACTAAACGTATAGTCTATAGGTTAAATTTCAATCGTGGTAATTTTACGTACACTCTATTTCAATTAAGTTACTTCAATTTTGATTTCAATTAAAGTAATTTTGTCCAATTCTACTAATGATAGTCAATGATATAGCAATCACTAAATGATAGTTGTCATGCGTAACTGTTAGATGATTACATTGAATAAGTGACGAATATCAGTATTAACTACAATGTCATTGATTTTTGTCAATCCAAGTAACGAATTAGAGTGAGTTACCTAATTGAAATCAAATAAAGTGTAATTACTCGATTGAATAAAATAGAAATACAATTACTTTATCCGAATATAATAAAAATATAGACATGACAAATGAAATTTAACAATAATCTATTACAAGATGAGATGAGAATGCAATTTAAAATATTTTCTTGTCTCCCAACATTTGCGTTGCAACATATAAATAAATCCAAGTGTAACCATTAAATGAGAACTAAACATATACTTAAAAACATAGGTTTGACATCAATCAGGGACAGATGTAGAGGGGATTGTCCTAGCCAACTTCATTTCTTTGGTGTAAAAAATTTTTCATGGGTACTTTTTTTTTTTTTTTAACGTATTAGTTCGACTTGCAGTTTGGTCCTGGATCCGTTTCTAAGTCAGCAATGACAACTAAACATTGTATATTAAAAATAAAACCAAGCTTATCATCACTTCGAGACACGTACTAATGCTATTTATAATTGACAAGGGAGATTCGTGTACATGCTTTGTATACAAATCAAACATAATTAAACAATATAACGAATAAGATTTTATTTGGTTCTTTTATACTATTTAATATTATTTAATCATCCTTCCAAACATGCAGGATGAGTTTTTGGACGAACTTTTAATTTTTTTGACTTTTACGAGTTTTTCAATAAGTGGTATTGAAAAATGAAGGTATAAAAACTTCTCTATGTACACCAAGAAAAGAGGAGATTTTTTTTTTTTTTTT